CGATATTCAAAGATTTGCTATGTCTAGGCACAGATGAATCTTCACGGAGCCTTTGTATCAGTATCCGTTTCTCAAAGTTGACTCATGGAAATCTGTCTCATTACTTCCGTCTTACGGTTCAAACTCTCACATAAAAACATAATGATTCAAGCTGTTTCTGTTGTCTGCTGCGTAAGTCAACGATTTTTTTTTTGATGTTCTAAGTCCCTTCAGTTTCCATCCTCAGAAAGTCGGGGATAATTATGGGAGTAAAAAGGCTCACTATCAGAGCAGATTAACAACATCTCACTTGGCTGAACTCCTCACTCCCTTTAATCTCCTCAAACGCAGTAGACGAGAAGACGAGTTATGCAACTCCCACCTTAGGGACCCAGCCGACTTTCCACCCAACTTCTGTCTGTCTCTGCATGTCTAGGGCGTCTGCTAGTCCTCTGCTATTTGATGTGTGTGTTTGAAGCAGCCATGCGACCGGGGAGAGAAGGATATGCCTGTTGTTAACAGCTCTTGCCGCTTTGCTCTGTTCCCCCGAGGAATGAGTTTCAAAGCATGGCAAAGTTGGACCTTTCCTGGTTCTACATTTAACACCTACTCAAATCGCAGTGCCAAGGTGCTGGATAGCTTTCTTCCCACCTTTCTCTTTTATCAATACTCCAAAGGCCCTCCTTTCATTAGCAAGGTTTTGAAAGACCTGCACTCCCTCTACTGTCATTTAGCTGAAACCTGTCATTTAAAGGAAGTGAACATCTGCTTCCGTTAATTTTTACAGTGCCCAAAAGCCACTTTAACACCCATGGACCCTTATGTGATGTTCTTTGTCTTACTTATTAAAAGGATATTTGATCTTGTCAGCTTGATATTATTATTACACATCAAAAATGCTACTGAGTTACAATGTTGTTTACTGTAAAGTCATTCTCCTTGTGGAAAATAAATGAAAAACAAGTTGAACTTTGGGTTAATTGGCTCTGTTTTTTTCATCTGGTTTCTGCATCAAATTACAACATACAGTATAAAAAGAGGCCGATAAAAATAAATCAACAGTCAGGAGTAAGAGAAAGTTTAACCGTTGATGTTCAGTCCATCAGAATGTAAATGTATCTTTACTTTAAAGGGGCATTTTTAGGCAAATTTATAATATCAGGATAAACTATTTAAGATGTTTCATCAGCTTTTATTATATATTACATTTCTACTACCAGTATGTTACCTCATCATCTTACACCAGACAACAAATTAGCATTTATGACATCATTAATGTTTTTTGACTGGTCAGTGCAGCTTCTTGATCAAAACTAAATACCAACATGAGATGAGATGAGTATGAGGTCAGAATGCAAGTTTAATGCATCCCCCCCTTTAAAGTGTAAAAAAGCATGTGTAAGCCAACCCTTGTTGGCATCTGCCTGATATGATTGTTAAGTTATTATATATATTGTTAAGGCATTTGTGTTGTTAGTGGAAAGATTCCAGTGAAAAATGTGTAGAAAAGATTCTACCACAAGCAGCAAACGTTACACATAGATTTATCTACAATATGTTGTAAATAGGTGCTTTGCAGAGACAGTAAAAACATAGTAACATGCAATATAGATCTGCATACATCACACGTAGAATACCACAAATAAACTTTCAACCTTAAGATTTATTTGTTCTTTTTCAGGTTGAGAAATCGGTTTCATTTATTAAAATGCATTTGGATTTATTGACCACTGGATCTTTTTCAAGGTGAGCATGCCGCTGGTGAGTACATTTAAATTCTATGCTGCAATGACAGCTAAAAAGGGAATGTGACACATTTTTAGAAACTACATTAGTCCTGCTCCTAGGACAGTTCAGCTGAACATGCACCTCTATTTCCTGAAGCTAAAAACTGATCCCTGAGAGTCACTGGAAGATGTAATATCTGCCATGGTTCCATACAAGATTTCTGAGTTTTTGCCATCCCTAGTAGCAAATTCCTGGTTTGTACATGTTATAAAATTATTTTTAGTGTGACAGTTCAACTTAGTATTAAAAGGCTCTACAATGTCAGAGCTTCACTGTCCACGATGCAGCCACACATTTCGCAAACATTCATGAATGTCCATGTCATATTTTATACACATATTTTATATTGTAGGTGTTCTTCTACGGGACATTCCACACATTGAGTGACCTGGTGTCAATTATAGCTATCAAAAGTGAAATTAAACCACAGAGGTAAAAAGGTGATAGTACAGAGCTGTGCTGCGTCCTCAGGGCCTGACAATCATTTCATATAAAATTATACAGTGTGTCACCTCTCATCTAAATTTGGCCTACCCTTAGATACCGTAGGCACACTGAAATGAAAAAGAACAGCTACTGCACATGACAAGAGTTAAGAAAAAGCTTTAACAACAGACAAAAGAGACCAATAATTGCATTTATGCACAGTAGCTTTATATGAGAAAAATATTTTTTTTAGGTAATTTTTAAGGAGGACCTACTCAGTAAGTATTGACACATCAGATGTAATGATACAAAGGTAAATTGAAAATAGCACAGGAATAAGCACCAACACAGCTTACTGTTACAAAATGTAACAATCATACTATCCAACACATGTACTCGATGTATCCAGGAAAGTGAAAACCTACCATATGATGAACATGATAGTTTTGTGGGTTTCTTTAGACATTATATTTGACTTGATAATAATTTTAGGCAGCATATTTTTTTTTTTTCATGAAATCTCTAGTTGACAGACTGATAACAGCCCTGGTAGCTTACCTGTAGACCTGGTGCCTCATGTACCAATGCTGGGTCCTCGCTGCAGCCGCCGTGGGTTCAACTCTGACCTGTGGCCCTTTGCTGCATGTCAGCCCCTTTCTCTTTCCCCCTTTTCTGACACTCTTCAGCGTTTTCTAAGCAATAAAAGCCCCCCCTCAAAATATATATTTTTTAATTACTGGCTATTATTTGTGCACACAGCTCCTACTTAACCTTAATCCTATAAACTGGGCTACCCACAGGCTTTAGAGGTATACATTTTGTCATATTTCACATTCTATCATATCTATTATTTATCTATTATTGTTTTTTCATGACTTTGTTAATATTCTATTTCTAATGACTACTGTTTTATAAGTGCTTTTTAAAAATACTAAAGTATTGGTGTCCTGGGTGACCCCAGTCAAAAGCCTTCTGCCTATACAGTTTTAAACACACCACTAGTGGTCACTAACAAACCTGGAGGTCCTCTAATCTACACTCTGATCAGAACATGGCATATGGTGTTTGTCTGTCGGCGTGTGACCTGTGCCAGTCAGGTCATCTCACAGCAGGGGGTTAAATTAGGTATCTCTCTAGGTGACTGGCCTTCTCAATTCTATCTCGAAACTGCTGTTGGTCCGCACTCCAGTTAAATGACTTAGTGCCACTCAAGAACAGATCAACATGCTTATAGGTCAGGGTGTTAATGAGAGGACCTTAGAGTTTTCCGCTGAGCCTGACAAAGGACAGGTGGAGGTGGGGAGTTATAAAGGGGCAAGGTAGCCAAGTGGAGATGTTCTCTGTACCTGTATAGTCCTAAAGGCCTGGGCCCTTTTCATCTATAACTACCAACTGCTCTGCTGCACTGAGGCCTCAAACACAGGTAAGCAAGTTTCTCTGTATTCCCTCAAGATTTCAACTTTTAAAATTTATGTGTATAATAACCAGGGATGAAAGTAAAGAGTAGCACGGGCAAGATCTATAATTTAACCAATCTGCTGTGCCAAGCAGCCTGGCATACAGCCAAGAGGGATAGAGGAGTGGCGGGCCAGATAGAGTGCTCTGCCAATGTTGTAATGCCTGGCACAGGTGCATTGTTAAAGACACTGTTAAAATGATTCATTTTCAATCCAATAATCTGCAGTACACTATAAGATGTCCACAAAAGGTCTATATAGTTTCTAAATGACTGCTAAATATGTTTTTCACCTTGAAAATGGAGCTGAACTTCCAACCCAGGAGAATATCCATCACAAATGGGATTTGACTAATAGCACTAATAACAATTCGGTTATCTCAGACAGATCATACCCACTCTTGAGCAGTACAGCTGCTAAGCTGGACAGCAAGGTGGGGGCTGACCTTGAGGATACACTGACAGTGTCCACAATGATGATTTTTTGACATCGGCATTCTTTCTAGCTTGTAATAGATGGTTTCTTTAATAAAATAAGGCTCACCTAGGGATAAAAAGAAAGCAAAAGGAATCAAAATAAAATCAATTTTCAATTAACTTCAATAGGAGCTGTGTAGAAATAACATTAAAAATAACCTTGGATGGCTGATCCCTGAGAAGCTGTTTATAAATTTGAACTATGAAATGTCCAACATGAAAAAGATAACATTCAGTTTTGGGTCGATTTTAAGTATTATTACCACATGTCACCAGTAAAGACCAGCTTGAAGACCACATCAAAATGTACATTTCGGCACTCATCGCTTTTCTTAATCTTTGATTGTGCTTGCTTATGCTCACACTGATTTGGAAGATTTTGAGATTTGAGTCAAATATCATCCAGTGACTTTTCTGCAGACCTTGCTTCACCACTGCTTTTCATCCCGGCGTTGGATTTCCAATAATAAAAAAAAAAGAACTGTTCAGTTTTCTGCTCACTTCAAAGCCCTTGTTTTGAGTTGGGGTATTGCTGCGTGCCTTCAGCGTTGTCTCTGAGCTAATATACTCCCAAGGCCTGAAGCCATCCGGTAGAATTTCATAGGAACATCGCAAAATATCTATATCGAAAGCTATTAAAAGAAAGTGGCTCGTAATGCCTGAGTGTTATCAAGAAAGGTCTGATCAAATTTGAACATCACTTCATCCTTTAGCTTTCAACCATCTGGCCTCGAGGTATTAAGCTTTGATGGGTGAATTCAGTTTTTGCTCTTTATCTTTGAAACCTATCATAATAATAATTAAAAAAAGATCAGATGTGTACTATTTTGTGTGTGAGATTTTCTTTTTGTGCTCTTTCCAAGCTCTCCCTCCTATGGCCAGGGTACCATGGGCGGTGTCCATGCTGTTACTGCTGGTGCTTTACTCTCCAGGGGCATCCTCAGTCCCCGCCCAGCACTTGTGTGGCTCTCACCTGGTGGACGCCCTCTACTTTGTATGCGGAGAACGGGGCTTCTTCTACACTCCAAACCGACCCCACAAGCGGGACCTGGAACATCTGCTCGGTAAGGCCACTGTGGGAACAGTTATGACTTCTTCTGTTTAACTTGTGTAAAAACTAAAATTCTAATTGTCCTCTTGATGGTAGGAGTTCAGAAAGGAACAGTATGACATTGCCCAGAGACCCCAGGCTGGCTTTGTGTTTCTGTAGTCTCTGCCTGCCATGTTCAAAGTTCAGACTGAGTCTAATGAGAATGCCAATTTGGATCCTAGCTGGAGGAAAAATGTTTTGAGACAACATGCTGGAAACTTCCCTGAACTAAATCTATGTATCTGTCCGAACCATCATTAGTGTGCAAAACCGGTCTCCGGCCTCTTTTGAATTCAGTGGTGTGGCCAGGCTTTTGTTTCTTATTGTTGCTTTCAACTTTTATGATGTTACATATCCAATAATCACAAATCTTGTGAAATCGCCAAATTCCTTGTTATTCTCTCATTATTTGGATCGCCCACCTCACATTGATGTTTTGATGTTAACTTGTGTAAGCTATTATATGCCTCTGTTGGAGCTCCGTCATATCTCCTCTTGAAGTAGAGACTAACAAGACTAAATGGATTGGGGAGATCAGATTACCTAGCCATTAAGTCTCCATTAAAGTGTGAACAAATCTAAATGGTAGTGAAGAACTGGAGGTTTGCACAGCAGCAGCCGAACTTAACACAGGGCTATGGAAACTGTCTTCACTTCAAAGGGTTCCTGTCCAAAAGAGCCAGACAGGAGCAGCGGCTGTGGAAGGCTCTGTCTGGCCACGAGGAGCCCAAGGTGAAGAGAGGCATCGTGGAACAGTGCTGCCACAAGCCATGCAGCATTTACCACCTGGAGGGCTACTGCGAATGACTCGTCACTCCACGACTAGCACCACTCATAGCTTGTAAAAAGTCAATTTCTGGCCCAATACTTGCTGGCTATGTCTTATCAACCGAAGGAAATAAAGCTTCATGACCCATAACCCAGGGCCCCTCTCTGCAAAGATGTGAATTTGTGTTCTTTGTAGCTGGTATATAGTGTGGGTGAAACATGGGTTATAATAGCTTTTTGCTGCGCTCCGACATGTGGCTGCAGTCCTTGAGTGCTCTCTACTGGATGAGGATGGACATAGCCAAGAAGATCCAAGCAAAAAGTAGGCTCTGTACATAACCTTTTTTACACTTGGGTCAGTAAGAGTCAATAAATACCAGTAACACTTTTGTTTAAGAGTATTAAAATCTGTCTTTATTTACAAATAAGAAAGATTCATACAGAGCTAAGCTAAGGAAGTTACACAGATACAATTCTAAAAACACATTTAACAATAAAAAGTATCTCACATTTTTATGGCTACGGTTTTATTCTCTGCATTGCATGTACCATCTATTTCCTCATTATTTTCACTCACTGCTCCTGTACACACACACACACACACACAATCTGCTCCTAACATTTCTTTTTAAAATCAAAACGAACATAAAACCTCTTTCTGTATGTAACAATTGGACACAAAAGGCTGTAAAACAGGATGTGGGAATATAGTTTACAATTTTAAGAAGCATGAATTACTGATGATAATGAATTATGAGTACAAATACAAAAAAGCATCCAAGTAAGAGGTTGGTAAGTATTCAAAAAACCAAACCATAGAAATTAAATTAGGCTGCCAATTAGTTGTCGGTTCTTGCCTGGTAGAACAGCTCCATTATGCATAATGATTTCCTGACAAAACAAACAAACAATTAGGTTTCCACACAAATATGTCAGCAGTTTCATTAGGTGAACATAAAAAAATCATATAAATGTTAAATTCTTACTACATCTTGTCATATCCCCAAAGTGCTGGCCCTATATACAGTAGGTTCAGGGTGTTGCAGTGAGGTCAGGTTAGTGCTCACCTTTAAGAGTTTCAGTTGTTTCAGTTTGCCTGTTCTCTTTGTTGTGTTGGAAAGCTTTGCTGGGATCGAACTTGCGGCAAGGAGCACCGGGGAGCTTTGACTTCAGCTGCTCCAGGTCACTCTTCTGCCGGTTCACCTGGGACCGAAGCTTAGACATCTCCTACACACGCAGCCAGGACCAGGGGGATTAAGGACAGGCATTTGAACTCGAGACAAAACGTGCGTCTATGTGTGTGGTTTGGAAAGCAGACTGTGCTGCTCTCATGTATCACCTGTTTTAGAAAGATGTTCTCATCTTTCAGTTTCATCACATGTTTGATCTTCTGCTTCTGATTCTGGTGGCCCAGCAGACGAGCGTAAGCATCAGACAACTTGTTTAACTCCTCCTGGTTTGCTCCGTTTTCATTGAGTAGTGCATTTCGCTCAGCTGCAAACGCATTGAGCTGTTCCTGCGGGCACACACCAACATAAACATTGAGAGCTAAACTCTTTAACTAAAAACGGCATGAATTGATTTTTTCTGGCCACTAGGTGGCAGCGCAACAAGCCGGGTCTCGAACAAGGTTGATGAGAGTTGATTGAATCAAAACAGTGAAAGTGCAGCCTGTAAAACCAAAACAATGAGCTCAGAGACACTAAAAGTACTACAAGTAGAGATAGACTGATTATCAGCTTGGCCAATTATCTGAGCCGTAGTTTTTTTGTTTTTCCAACTGCCAATAAAATAAATGAATTTAAAAATGAAAATCAGAGCCAAAGTAGCACGCTGTAATGCAGCCACCTCTCTCGGTCTGTTGTCACCACTGTGTAGTCTCGTAGTGTCCCGCCCACAACACTATCTGATTGGTTGCATGTCATGAGTACGTTTTTTTGCCTTTATTGGATAGTGACAACCAAAGATAGACAGGAAAAGGGGGCAGAGAGAGAGAGGGGATGACACGCAGCAAAGGGCCGCAGGGTAGCTTAATCTATAAGAATACATTTATATATTCTATTAATAATATAAATCTGCAAAGTAACTAGTAGGTTATAAAATAGTAGAGTAAAAAGTACAATATTTGCCTCCAAAATGTAGTGGATGTATAAAGTAGCATTAAATGGAAATACTAATAGTAATACTAAACCTAATCAATACAGTACAGGTACCTAAACATTGTACTTACGTACAGTACTTGAGTAAATGTACAATTCAGCACTGGTTATTCTAAATATTTTGACATTAAGATTCTTTTTTTTTTACTGTAATGTATAGCAGTTCCAGTTCTGTATCGTCCCTGAAAAAGCTATGTTGGTCACTGCCTACTTTAAAGCTGAGTAGAACTGCAGAGTTGGGTGATAATTATCTGTGGTTTCATCACTACAAGCTGATTAAAACTGATTAGAGCAGCTTTAATGATGATCTGGGTTATTTTAATTGATGTGGAAATGACTGACCTGGAAGGGCCTGACTTTCGCAAACAGCTCCTCATATTGGTTCCTCCAGTGTTCGGTCTCTGAACTTTGAGAGCTTGGAAGAAAGGAATGAAGAGTAAAAATGCACTGTAAAAACAAACAAACTCCTGATTACACATACACAAATAAAACACAATCTTCCTCACCTTTTCTCCTGTGCTTCAGTTATTTGTCTTTGGAGTTCTCCTCGTTGCTCCTCCATCTCCCACTGCAGTGTAACCTTTTCCTGAGTCAGTACTTCGACCTGTTCCTGCAGAGCCCGTCTGTCTTGTCTTTGTTCATCCAACTCACACCGCACAGCCCGTGTCTTCTCTTCCATAAGGTCTAATTGGGCCTGGAAGCTCGAGCGCCCTTGTTCAACCTCATCCAGGCGAGACTGAAGCCGATTTTTGTCCTGCTCTGCGTTGTTTAGCTGATTTTCAAGAGCAAGCCTGGACTGGTCTTTGAGTTCTACTTGAGACAGAAGACTTTTGCTTTCCTCCTCTACTCTCTCAAGCTCAGTCTGAAATCTGAGCACCTCTGACTTGACCTGCTGGTGGTCTTCCCTTTCAACCTCCAATGCTTTCCTCTCCTCCTGAAGGGCTGTCTGAATTTTCCCCCTCTCTTCTCTTTCTTGTTGGAGCTGTTCGATTATGTCCTCTTTTTCCTGGCTGACCTCCTCTAGGAGTTTCTGAGCTTTTTCTATCTCATTTTGGAGCTGAGTTACACTCTGACCTCTCTGTTCCTCTAGTTGCCCCAGCGCCTCTTCCCTTCCTTTTGTCTGCAGCTGTAGCTCCTGCTGTAGATGACTGATCAGGCCGGCATGGCTTGCCTCCATGGCCTTCATCTCCTCATCTTTTTGTGCAAGGCGAGTCTGCACCTCCAGCAATATTCTATCAAGTTAAAAAGATAAAAGATAAGTTAAGGTAGAAATGTGATGGTTATTTCAACACAGACTTAAAGTGAATTTGCAGCATACCTTGAATTCTCCTCCCTGGCTTTTGCTTCAGCTAACTGTCTCTCCTGGTGCTCCTCTAACCCTTCCTTCACTCTGTTGATTTCCTCCTCTTTCTGTTGAACCACTTTGTCCATCTCCTCCTTCATCTGCTGGGTCACTGTCTCCACCTCCGCTTCCAGTGTTTTCTGTCTTCCTTCTGCTTCCTTCAGAGCTTCTTTGGTGCTGAAAAGCAAAACAAGCAGTCTGTGAACCTTACAAACTGACAGAATTTTAAGCTAAACGCCAACACAAATCAATCTGACACTCCAAAAACACTTTGAGAAACAGTCGAGTGCTCACCTTTCCAGCTCTGTAACAATGTCTGCCATCTTGCTCAGTGAGTTTGTTTGTGCCTCTTGGAGTTCTTTCATGGCTGTAAAATGCTCCTCTTTAAAAGCTGCCACATCATTGCTCTTACTAAAAGTCACAAGCACACAGTTTTGAAGTGTTAAAAGTGGGTATCTTGTCTTTAATACCCCAGAACACAGAATTCAAATGATATAAGCACCATCCTCTTTTTTTGTCTTTTACAAATTTTAAAGACTTCTTTTGCAATCAGAGCCATCACAATTAGCTGATTAATAAAATAGGCAATTAAGAGGTAATTTATGAAACTATATTGGTGATTAATACAAAATTTCAATCAAATCATTTGAATTAAATCATTTTACAATTAAAAATCCTTCCTAGCTTCTCAAATGTTACAATTTGCTTTGCTCTGTACGGTTGGTTGGACAAAACAAGACATCTGAAGGATTCATCTTAGGCTCTGAGAAATTATGACTTCATGGCATCTCATAGACTAAAGTAATAATAGATAAATAGATAAGCCAGAAAATAACAGATTCACTGGTAATGAAAATATCTTTTGTTTCAGCCATAGCACATCAAAGGTCTGTCATCTTGAGCCTGAAATTTGGCACAAGATGTGTTTTTGAATATCGTGCCTACTATTTTTTTTCTCGTCCACTATTACCTTCTCAACTGTCTAATGAAAACAAAAAGTTAAACATTAAAGACATGTTCCCCTTAGATTCCAAAGACATGGTGAGGTGACTTGCAAGCGTGAAATTGGTCATGAACAGAAATAGACAGTGACCCGCTGTCTGTATCAAACCTGTGATGGACTGGCAACCTGTCAATTATTTTTCTCTACTTTATGCTCAGTGTTTGTTGGGACATGCTCCCAGCTGCCTCTGACTCTAAATAGCAACACACGGGCAGAGGCACCAAATCAAAGGAAGAAGAAAACAAAACAAAAGGTGTTGTTTTGCAAGTGTAGTGATGATATGAGTGTGACATTCAAACTTTATCTTTATACTTTTTCGCCCAACACCTTATCAGGATGCTTGGGTTTTGGTTGCTTACCTCTCCAGCAGTGCTCTGGTATCACTCAGCTGTCTCTCCAGCTCGCTCTTTTCCTCCTGCAGCCTTTGGACGGCCTCCTGACTGCTCTCCACCACCTCCTGCTTCCTCTGCTCCTGATCCTCCAAGAGAGCGAGCTCTCCCAGCACCTCCTCCATCTCCTCCTTCAGCTGTCTCAACCGCTCCTCAGACTCCTCTCTCTCCTGCTCCACCAGCACAGTCAGGGAGTCCACAAGTGCCTGTAGTAAAGAGGAAACAGTCAGTTCTAGCTTTAGGTGGTTTTACACTGAATCTAAAAAGAACGTCCCATGTAGGACAAAAACATCTGTGTAACCTTTTCTTTTGCCAGTTCTTCAGTAAGAGTAGCATGTTCTTGCTCAAGCTGAATCTGTCTCTTTTTCTCATCTCTTTTAGCCTCCTTTAGCAAAGCGATCTCTGTTTTCAACTCCTCCACTCTCCTGAAGCCCTGCTCCTGGGCCTTACCTAAAAACCAAAAACAGATACACACAACACATGCATCATATAATCATACTCATTATATAGCCGTCAATTTATTATTGCAATTTAAATTAACATTGTTAAAGAACATTGGTGAACATACTCCTCTCTTCCTCAGAGAACAGATATCTCTGTTCAAGGTGTGCCACTCTCTCATCCAGCTCCTTCTCCGTCCTTCTGAGCACCTCCCTCAGTCTAGCAAGCTCAGCCTCCTGCTGTCGAACTGTTGCTTGTGAGTCCTGAACTTCTTGTTTGGCCGACTTAATTTGCTCCTCCATGTCACTCACTGACTTTTGTGAAGACTTAAGCTCCAGCACTTGGTTGTCCAATAGCTTCTCCGCCGCTATTAAAGCATTCTTTGAGGCCTGCAGCTCTTGCTGGAATTTCTGTGCCTCCTCCTCTTTTTGTCTGAGCATGCCTTGAGTGCTTTCTAGCTCAGTAGAGTGCTGCAGTAGTTCAGTCTCTAGTTGCCTATGGAAATAAAAAAAGACACATTAATGTGATGGTCTACAGATGAGATCTAACTTGCTTGATCTATTAGGCATTTCCTTACTTTACTTTCTCCAGCTGAGGACCAGCAACAGCGTTCTCCTGTGCCTTCTCTCTGAGCTTTAAGCGGAGATCCTACGAACAGGTCAAAGTATTTCACAAAATGTAATTTTTTAAAATGGCAGAAAGGTGTCCACTTTTGTAAGATTTGCTTTTACAGGCCTAGTTTATACCTGGATCTGGTCATTGGCTGTATCCAGGTATCCCTGCAAGACTCTGATCTCCTCCCTCAGCTCCCGTATCACAGCTGGTAAATAACACACAATTATGGGTGGGAGCAAACTCGTAAACACTGGCAGAAACACCTATAACCTGTTTATTTGTACATCAAGGGCAATAATACAGACATGCATGCATCTCAATGTGTATAAAACAGGCGGAGAAACCCAGAAACAAGCCCAGAGACGATACTTTGTGGCGTTTATGGGTAAAACTAAATGTGTGTCAAGGAAAAAGCCAGCCATACACAGAACTTCTCACCATGCAATCTAGCGTTCTCATTCTCCAGATCTTCGTTCTGGGTTTTGGTCACTTTATGAAGGTCCTCTGTAAAAGTCAAAGTACAGTCCTGGTTACCTTATTGTTGCTGGTTATCCACTTTTATGTCTCTAAACATTTAAGCACGTTCAGGTTCTGTTCAATCTTACCCAAGTCTTTATTCCTGTCCTTTAGAGCCGTGGCAGTAGCCCTGGCAGCTTGGAGGTCAGTTTCTAACAACTTCAGTTGGCCTTCACTGTTAATCTGCAGGACACTTAACTCCTGGACACACACACACACACACACGCTATATATAAGCATCAGCGTCTACTGCAAACGTGCACATGTGCTAATAAACTCTGACTTAACGTTTAGCTGCAATTAAACCAATCAAGGATTATACTAGATAATTAAAAGTCACACCTTGTTTTTAGCATCCAGAGTGTTCCTGGCCTCCATCAACTCCATTGTAAGAGAATTGATTCTCTTTTTTGTAGTATCAGCAGAAACCTAAAAAAAACAAAAACACATACTCATCCAGGCATAATCAAGACGGGATTTCTAAATACACCAAAACCTAAATACAAACACCAATACCAAGCACACCTTGTTTTTTAGGAACTCATTGATTTTCTTGAGCTCGGCCCGCTGTCTTTCAAGGGTGGTAACATTGGCAGCAAGGCCCGTCTTCTCCCTGACTGCAGCCAGCAGCTTGGCCTCCACCTTCTTCATCTCCTCTTCCAGAGCCAGCAAGCGACGGTCCTGCTCCCCCCGCTGCTGGACTAGGGACCTTATCTGGGAACAAACAAAGTTAAAAGTTATGACTTCGACATCTGCAGTATAAGCTACAATGACGACGTGAACATCTGTCAATTTACCAGTTACTCAGTTATAAATCAACACACAGGAAGCAGTAGATTTTCTGTGGTGGACCTGTGGCACAAATGCTTCTTGGATGAAGCGTACCTCTTTCTCCAAGAGCTTCTGCTGCTTCCTTTCCATGGTCATGCAATTCTTCTCTTTCTTGACACTTGAGCCTTCCATCTATGTTTTCACAAGAAATAAAAAGGAGGGTTAGGTTTATATGTCAGGAGCAGCTGCAGGACAAGCAGACCTGTTCGTGAGGAGCCATCCAAGTATTACACGGTGAAAGAAAAGACAACTTACAAGACCATCCACCGACAGAGTCCTACGGACCGGTGACATTAGGGCGCTTCTGCAGGGCGACGGTGGCGGCAGAGCGGCTGGAGACACAGGTGATGAAAATAAATGACCCAAAACGTCAGCTTTCAGTTAAAGTTATATCCTAGTTTCATTTTCCAGCGTTGCATTGTGCGTCTCATATTTACCCACCAGCCTTAACAGGTCTGAATCGATCAGATTTGTCGAAGGAAGCAGCTCCCTTCAGGTCCCCAGGTTTAATCTCATAGGACCCCGGTGCTGGGGCACAACCTGCGGCCAATAGCACGACGTTAGCCAAGTTACTGGAGCTCCTTCTTAACTAACTATCTTTGTTTTTTAACTAGTTAACGTTAGAAATGAGCTGCGGGTGTCAGCTAACACTTGCTTACGTTAACGTACTTACCGTTGTATAACTTTATGAGCTAACCGCTACACCAGCTGCTAGCTCTTTGAACGTCACTTACCTACGTTCTCGTTGAACCTTTTCAAAGGGGCTCTTGAGAAAGACATATTTTTTTTTTTTTTTAGTCCAGTGTTTGCAGCTTAATACTGAATTTTCCAAGAGGCTCGACAAGGCTGCAGTGCAGCTCCCGGTGACACACACAACAACAAACGCTTCACCGCTGAAATTTCAAAAAAAAAAACGTCAGACGTACGTTCACGCACGTATGGCCAATAGGCATCCAGTTCTGGTTGACGTCATCCACCCAGCCTCGTCATCCTCCCGTATGTTCTCGTAAATAACTGATTTAAATGTGAAGTATTTGTGGTATTTATACTAAGAATGAATACATCAATATTAGGAAATAGAACATATAGCCTGTCAGTATCAGAGGCAAAGTCTAATTTGGTCATAAAGTTGTTTTTAGTAGTGTGCATTTATATTAACTTAAATATTTCTTTCAGAATCACAAACGTTAGTCTACATTTAGCCGATAACCAAACCCTGTGAAATCTTATAGGTATTTAAGGAGACATTTTATTTATGTATTTTACTGCCGAGTTATATTTTCTGAAAAACGTTTCCCTTACATGTTTCAAAGCTTTGGCTACAATACCAGGTATGTAAATGGTGGGAAATATTAAATCACTTCTATTTATTTATTCATTGGGTCTAAAAACTGTACAATCTTATGGTATTTAGTCTAAAGAAATATCAGTCTGGCTTAAAAAAAAAACCCATGTGAAATCATACAATTTAAACTTTTTTTATTCTCCTCATGTCATTAAAGTATGGCCTTGTTTGCAAATGTGAGTCAGTTAACAAACCCACCCAGTTAATTAAGTTATCCACATGAGTGGCTGTTTCAGGTGGCCCAGAAACACCTGAAACAGCAAGTCTGTTTACAACTTACTTGTGTTACTAATACTCAAAATGAGTCTAAGAGGAGCACCAACAAAAATATTGGAAAACCAATATCGTAAACACAACTTCCATTTTTTCAGTTAAACATTTTTTATTTCATGGAAATACAACATAATTTCAAATCCTTTGCAGGACCATTGTTGTACATTTTATATTCTTTTCTCCATTTTTTGTACTTCAAAACATGGTCACTTGTACAACAATATCATAAACAAAGCCTCATGTCACAAATGGAGCCATTGATGACAATAAATTACACTTGCCATGCTAAGGTTTTGAGATGATACATTGGTACCTTCATTTTGACTAGATTAACCTTTAAATGAACAATACGTCAGAGTTGAATAAATATGATAAAAAGACACTGGAGTTACAAAAGAAACTTTGTTCATTCAAAACAGAGCAGAAAAAGATCACAGGGCTGTTTTGGGGGGGGCTACTTCTTAATAATGAATTTGTTTTCCTTCATATGAAAAAAAAGGGACAAATTTTGCATATTTTGATAACACTGCTAAATCTAAAGCAAAAGTCCAACAATAGTAAATACTGACTATACTTAGGAAACTGCCCTTTAATTATAACTGACATATTAGTTATGATTTTTTTTTCTTTACTGTATGTGCAGAGTATTTCAGGTCTGCTAGACCAACATCATCCATTCACACTCAAAACAGGTTAATCTAGTACAGCACTGTCTTTATACAACCTAGAGGTATTTTCTAATCTTGTTTCTTTTGTGTTTTTTTCACTTTTGAAAAAGCAAACACATATACCCAGATAAAGATGCGTCTTTTCCAAATTGTAAATAATAATATCACTGTATTCATGTACAGAATATAAAAATCTTTCCAACGGACAAAAGAGAGAAAGAAAAAACAGCTGATGAGGTTTTCCAGCCAGTAGTAGAGAGGCAAGTATACCAAGGATGTGTAAATTAAAATATTCATAATTAAAAACAAGAACAATTACAACACTCAACACTTCACTTAGTTCAACAGTGAAATTTACAGTGGAACTGGTACCAAATAAAAAATGTGTCAGAAGGAAGGAAGCAAGAAAACCAGATAGTGGGTGTAGGATAAATAAAAGCAAATCAAAGATGCGGTGTAGCTTCATTCCTTTCAACGCAAGCAGGTGAAGGAAAAGTGAGGAAGAAGTATTCGAATGCATCATGATAGACACTATGTATTATGAACATGGGCAGACCAGATTATTATACAGATGAGTGAAGAGTTTAAAATGTATCACGATAAACAGGTTTGGGTCACGCATAATGGTAGCACAGGTGTACTGGTGCCTGTGCTAGTACTGTTAGTAGCTGTAGTAGCACTTGTGGAGCACCATGTTTCACTTAAAAGATATTTATATAACTTAAAAAATTAGTTATTTGTTTTTTATTTAGTACTTCATTTAAACCTTGTTAGATTTACTTTTTCTTTCATCTCTTGATTGCAAATTCTGAAAAGGCGTTTATGAGTCCCAATGGCTGTGACTTCAAACAAGTGGCTTCAGATTATAAGACAGAGATACTCTTTTGGCATTTGTGTCAGTGGTCCAATCCACAGGTGTCCAGCGGAAGGAATACGAGAAGGCATGCATGAGTCAGAGTGAGAGCCATAAAGATAGTAAAATTAAAAAAAAGAACAGTTGTGAATATACACTTCCACCTCTGACCTGGTCCACTTCTAAGGGTTAATGCTTCGAGAATTCAAAGACAGACACATTTTAGATAGAGGAAGAGTTTGAGAAGATTTGTCTTTGGATACTTGAAGCCATTGTGGAGCCATCGTGGTAATCTACACCTCTACCAGACCAGGGAGAGGCAGAAATTAGTATCACAGCTATGTGTGTTTGAGTGTGTGTGTACTATGTGTGAAGGGTCTATTTCAACAGGTGGTAGCCAGGGATTGGTGTATAGGAGGCTGGAAACAGCGAACGTGTTCCACAGTGGAACTGTCCGTCTCCACCGCCTTCATGTACTTGTTGAGGATGGCAAAGATCTCATTGTTCAGGATCTGGTACTTCCTAATGCGGTCTGCCATCTTCTTCAAGGGCTGTCGAGGAAAAAAACAGAACAGAAAAGGACTAAGTCAGATAATATCCATCAGTGTATTTATGCTTGTGAGTAAATGTAGTGGATAAAGTACACCCACCACATTCTTGATGATCTCATCCTTGCCATCCTGTCTTTGGACTTTGAGCAGGTGGTAGCAGAAGTCAAAGAGGTCAAAGCGACGCTGCTGTCCCAACAGCACAATGATGGCACAGCCGGCCCAGTTCAGCCCATCCCCAAAGCATTGCCTGGAAGGTAAGGCAGTGCACGTATAACATATTCAGCAAAATAAAATATAATGCAATTTAGTGCATAGTTCCATCAACGACTTTTATGCTAATATATTCCAGAAAATATGACAGGATTGCATGATTAATTGTGCGTCAGTAAGTCGTCTCTTCTGATCCAAGTGTACCCTATAGCGTTTTTATCAGCTGCTACGGTGACAACATGGACCCTGTATGGACTTGAACCAAAGTGTGAGCATGTATACACACCGCAACTTCACTCGTTTAAATTTATTTTATTTGTGTTTTTCGGCTCTCCTACTAGAGAGAGTAGAGCCATGTCATAAGTGGCAGCATGATATGATTGCTTTGTTTCTACGGCAGAAGAGGTTTATCACATCCTCTCTTTCTGCATATAGCAACTTTTCCTCCTCAACCATGAGTAAAAATATTGGGGTTTTTTTCCCACCACATTTCTGGTGTTCAACAGATCAAGTATTCAAACAAACACACAAATCTCTCTGGGAAAAAAACAGGCAAAATATAACCTATTTTTAAATATCATTTGCATTCCATATTGGTAAACCGACATGCAAGTTAATCTAATCTTATTTTTTAAAATGAATTACATGATCATGTTTGGCTACACATGTGATTGATGACTAAAAACAAAACCAATTACTACAAAAATACTACACACTCCTGCAGCACAAACACATTAGCCAGGTGCTACTTACTCTGCTGTAAACTCGTGTGTGCCCACAGGGATGCAGTACACAAACTGCATGGCACTCCACAGGCGGTGGAACTCCATACACTCGTCAACGTGCATCACACCGTTGGTGGGCGGAGGCCCACGCCACACGGCGTCATGCAGGAAGCTGCGGATACGCGTCAAGATGACCTCGAACATGGACAGGCCGCAGCACAGACGCTCTTTGGTCAGCAGGTCCCCCTCACGGGCAATGGCAATTTGCTGGTAATATTAAAATGTTAAGGGAGAAAAGTTTTCAAATAAGTATACAAAATACACCACAAAGTATGAGACACAAATTGTCAGATTTGTCCTCATCCGTCTACTTTTTGCCTTGTCAGCCTTACTAAATACAGAGTGGTGCTAAACTCACCTGTGGGGTTCCCAACCTCTCAATCAGAGGCACAAGGTGGAGAGGGGCGTACTTTGCTTCCAGCCTTTTCATCCTCACCTCCAGACGCTCTCCCTCTATAAAACACACAAAAACAAGGAGAGAGATGTACACACTGTACAAAAATGACAGATAAATCATTGCACACTGGTCTGAAAGCATCAAATATGACTTTTGTTAATACTTCTGCCTTTAATTTACTGCCTGTAACCATTTTGTATACCTTTGATGTAGACCCTGGGCAGAATGTTCTGGAAGGGGGCGGCATGAAGCAGGTCACACACCTCCTCCTGGGACTAAGATTTAAGCATAGTACAAAAAAGGGTCATTTCAAGGAAAAAGAACAAACACCCACGTTGCTTTATGGACATCCTTACAGAGCATGCAGGTAGCCATGAGGTGATGTTGAGTTTAAAGAACGTGCCCAATACTTCAAGCTGAATTCCTTCACTTAGTCTCAATATCAGTTAGGTTTGTTAGAGTTGTGCTACAACTAGGAACAATAGCTTTTAAAGCATATTTTAAGTGTTTAAACTGCCATGAGCTCCATACTCCAGGAGTACGCTCATGGATTACTCAACACTAAATTCGTCTTATGCAGAGAAGGAGATGAGATAATTGAATGAGTGCGTCTGTGTGTATCATGAGGCTATGCTTATCAGGCCATGATGACAGGCCAATATTAGCAGGATTATAATTTGTCATACTAAGTACAACATCCCATCTTATATGGTTTAGCAGCAAGAGGTCAAGTTCATAACCATCTTAATAAACTCTCATCCTCCTGGGTAAAGTGT